GAAACCTAATTGATTAAGTTGAGTACTTTAACTACGGATTACGCGTTTATTATACAAGATACGACAAAAGTGTATCAAACCTTATTTGTAGAGGATTTTCCGCTCTGCATTTTTTCTTTGAAACATTTTTTCATACGATTTGCATTTTTCGAAATAAATACAAAAAACTAAAAAAAAATCACGTTTTTTCGATGTTTTTTCGAAATTGCGGCCAAGATACGGCCGAGCGCCAATTTCTGCTGTCATATTTGTTTTCAGGAGCCAAAAATACATCAAAAACACGTGGTCGTTTGTTTCGTTTCGAATATGCAGCTCATCCGAAGGTTTACCCACAATTATATTAATTATTCAAATGGCAAAAATTATCGCAAACTAATGTATATTTCAGGTGATTTACAGTCTGCACTAATGGTTTACACTTGTGTCACTGCATGTCCAAATTTTTCTATTCAAGATTGTTTTGATTCAAAACAGAAACTCGTACCACAATCTAATTGGAAGCTATATACAATTTATAAGGATCAAGCAATATCTTTGGATGAAAAGTTGTGGTTTCTATTTAAAGATGCAATGTCTTTGCACTTATATTATTCAAACCAAATCAGTATTAATGAAATTACAAATTGCGATGTATGTATTGCAAATTATATATACGTCCCATTTATAAAAAAATGTGATATATCAATATAATTTGTTTATATGTAGGAACAGATGAATCAACTGTTAACTAGTTTCTTGGAAAATATAAGAAAAATACAACCTCAACACAACGATTATTCTTTACTGCAAATTTTCAAAACATTTTATTTCATGTACTATAGCACATCTGTAAGAAATGAAGAGAGATTAACTGAAATGAAATGTATATTATCACAGCTTCTAATAAATTTATTGAGAAAGTTGTGCACTGGACGATCGTTCGATTTGCAGTTGGGACTGTCGGCTCTCTTTATGTTATCTGAACAAGAAGCGTGCAGTTGGCTTTCCACAGTTTCCGCATCGTAAGAAAATTAACCTATTTTTTGAGAAAATTAATATAATAATGTGTAAGGATGAAAATTTGTAGATTTCAGGCCGACCATATTCGGCATTGTACAATTTCAACTTTGGGATATGAATATTCGTGCTTGGGGCAAAATCGATCATTGATACAGACGTTTGAGAGTTACAAGTTACTGCATATTTGGGCACAACGACTGTCACATTACTCAATAAATTCTAAAGGTACGCTCATATATATATATACATATACATATACATATATTCGTTATCATCGATTTTACTTTTATATTAAATGCAAATCTTATAGAATACATTAATGTACATATTTTAATACATGAATATTTTCAGAAGTTTTAACAAATAGTGCTTCGAGCAAAAGAGAAATTTTACAACAGATCATAAACAGTAATAAAGAGAATATGATTCCCTTACTAAAGGATTACTGTTGTAGCTTTGGATTTAATTTCAATGATTGTCTTTTGCTTTATTTACAAGTATTATTAAAAACGTGGAATCCAACGATAACCATTTCGAATACAATAAATAAAGGTAAATACGTATTTGTGATAAGAGGAAATATGTGTTTGTGACAATTTAACATTTTTACACATATTTTTATATGTGTGTACATCATTTTTGCATGATGTCGAATGCGAATTCAATAACTGAATGACATTTTATAGAGTTACTTATCTGTAAAGAGGAAGTCGATGAATTAAGAAAGAAATGTAATGCAGTTGTTGCGCAAATAGAAGATATATCTATGTTGAAGCAATGTATGTCTACATTATGGCAACACGTAAGTTATAAAAATATTCGATAGTATAGTTTCTTATAATAAAAATTTTATATTTTAATTTATATATATAGATCTCGTTTTATCATTATGAAGTATTCATTATATTAATGGATCTTATGGGAGATAAAGATATAGAAAAGAGGAATTATCTCTGCTTTTTGCAAAATTACATTCGGAGTGGGTAAGTTATAATAATTTTCCATATATTAATTTTAAGTTTAATAATCATACATACGTTAGGCCTCCTACACCAATGGAGCACGATGAATGGGTACAGCTTAATCCTGGACATAGTACGTTGCCGCCGATAGCACAATGGAGACTTCCATTCTTGCTTAAAGTCGATATTTGGAAAATTATTAGTAAATATATTTTATAAATAAATTTTTAATTAGTACTTAAGCGATTATTTAACTTAATTTTATATTTTATTAATTCTCTTATTGTAGCTCCTGAATTAAATTTAAAAACATATGATAAATGGCTTGACATTGCACCCGTACTTAATTTAGAAGCACATCTCATATGCTCATTAGCTATTAAGGGAGAAGTGGCAAAAGTATGGGCAAATAATTCTATTCAATCGAAAAATACTACATGGTCGCTTTATTCAATAAACACCACATTGCTGAAAGATAGCAAGAAATGTATACAACGGCTGACAGACTCAGATGGGTTTTATTATGGTACTGCAGCATTGTATCATATTGTAAATTATACACCTCCGGGTGCTGATCGCGTCGCTGCCGCGAAAGAATGTTACGAGTATGCTCAGCTAGCGGCACAAAATTCTACTAAGTTCAAAGAAGGAAAGGAATTAGAAGTACGGTAATCTCTATAAACCTATAAACCGTGTCTTTATGTGTTATATGAAAAAGTAAGTTGACTTCTGTGTGTGTGTGTATGTGGCGTCTGCTTTCAGAAAATTAAATCCAAATATTTAACATTTACGTCTGAGCATATTCTACGTATGTACGGATTGGAGAAGGATGAGTATCTTGCTCTAATCGATCATCCGGGCAAGCTAATGTACGCGTTGTATAATGACAAAAGTATACCATTACGATATCGAACCGCAACCAAATATAGACCCGACATTAACGCTGCCGTTAATGAGTTGGGTAAATTGTTCTCGTTGAATATAATAAAATTGCGCATGGATTTATTGGAAGAATGGCTACAATCCAATGCCAGATACTATACTGAATTGTCTCAAAGCTTTACAGAGACGTTTCTAGCGCCAAAAGAACCTGATCAGAATACAGATTGTGAAGATAATTTACTTAGGTAATATCAGTATACCTTTTTTTATCATCAATTTCTGGATCAATAATTGATCTTGAAATATACTTGTAGGATATGTTACATGCTGGAATATGGAGATATGGATTTGTTTGCACAATTTCTTATAAACATAGGCTTCGGCAATCGTCACGGCAATACTGAATATAGTTGTAACGTACGATATCGAGTATTTCAGATACTGCAGACTGTCGTAGATACTTCTACGTTGGAGGAATTGACCAAGCAAGATATATGTACCTTTAGGTAAACATAAAACAGATTACAATAAACTATGGTGGAATATACAATAGATTTATCTTGCAATAAAACGTTTATATTTTAATATTTCAGAAAATATATGAAATCGTTACAGTACATCGGGAAATTAGAATCATTAGGATTATGTTACAGTATTGATTCATTTGAAACATGTTGTAAACAGGAGCTTGTCCAGATCTTATGGAAAAGTCAGCGTCACTTACCCTATGCTCTCTCTGTTATAGCGCAGATTTGCATCGAGTTTGAAATAAATGATATCCTACTTTGGGATGATACTTTAACTCAGATGACAAAATTACGAATGGTTGTAACGATTATAATTCGTCAGATATACTCTTTTGCTTCGAAAATTATACTAAATATGTATTTTTAGGTAAACGACTTAAAAAAAGTTTTATTACAATTACGAAATAAAAATGTCATTGTGAATTGTAATGGTTATAAAACGGGATGGCAATTGATTATCTCCGAACCGTTTAGCGAGATGGACAGAAATCCAAATCTGGAGCAAATTGATAATTGCATAGAAGCGATTTGTCTGCTATATTCGTGTCCTGTGGCATACGAATTAGACTTCATCACAATCGTAAGAAATTGTTTCCAAAGTCAACAGGCGCACTTAGCTGCCGCACTTTTACCATTTTTAAATGACATTGACAACAAGCTTGTTTTAGAGGTATTTAAGTCAATTTTTAAAAATATAATATGATAGAAAGAGAGAAGATAATAACATTAATTTTTTTTTAGACTATTAATCAAAAGTGTCAAATCGAAAAACTCATAGAAGATTTAAATCATTTGTCTTCAAAAGGAGTACTCACAATTACACATGTAAGTTGTAATAAATTTTTATTTATATAAAACGTTACTAATATTTATTATGTTTATGTTTAGAGTCTCGCTATGGTGCAAAAATCTAATCTAAAGGTCAAAGAATGAAGAAAAATTTTTTCTCTGTATTAGATCAGCTAGAAGATTTACTTACCTATTTGTCAAATCGAATTGTAATATTATGTTTATAACATATAAGAAATAAATGAATTTTTGCTTCGTATATATAGAATCGTAGCAGAAAACTTAATTTACTTGATATTTCATATCGTCGTTACGTGAGTTACGTCCTGTGTTTGATCAATGAAATTCTGCGACCATCTTTGCAGACAGTTTATTGCACTTTCATAATTCATATTTCTCTTGTAATCATGGTGAAATTAACAACAGACATCGTCGAAAGAAAATGTTCTCAAATATTAACCAGTAAATCACTCAGTAAAACAATAAAAAAAGACGAATTGTGGAAGTTAACTCATTTACATATGAATGACATGTTTATCAGCAGTATTGTAAGTTATATCAATTTAATAAAATTTATTTTCAACGCATATATATAAAATTTCACGTTTTATGTAGGGCAACATCGCTACTTACAGAAGCTTAAAAGTCCTATATCTTCAGAATAATAACATATCAAAAATAAAGAATTTACATTTTGCATGTAATTTGACACATCTGTATCTACAACATAATACCATAACGAAAATAGAAAATTTGGAATCTCTAGAGAATCTCCAAAAGCTTTATCTAGGACACAATAATATTATTGTAGTTGAAGGATTAGAAAATACAAAGAAATTACAAGAATTGTATATTGAGAGTCAGAAAATACCACTCGGTGAATCATTATGCTTCGAGCCACGCAGCGCTTTTATTTTATCTGTAAGAGTACCATTTGAACCTCAAAGACTTTCATTATGCAGATTAATCATTGAGATTTGTTTATTATAAACATTTTCTCTCTTAGATGTGTCTAAAAGTTCTTAATATTTCTGATAACAAAATGACATCCTTGAGAAATCTAATAGGATTTCAAGAATTACACACGTTGGATGCAAAAAATAATCTGATCGATAATGTGGACGATTTAACTATGACAATAAGTACATTGGTTTCTTTAAAAGATTTGTCTTTACAAGGTAATCCTGTTACACGATCTTACAGATATAAGGAAAATCTGATTGCAAACAGCGTTTCGCTAGGTAAAATTACACGTTCGACATTTGTTGCCACTTATTCATGTTTATTACTCAACTATTACTCAATTATAATTTTCATATACAGCTAATCTCGACGGAAAAATTGTAACTGACATTTGTCGAAATTTTATGAAAAAATTTAAAATGGAGAAACACAATCAACGTACAAAAAACGCAACTAAAATCCCATTAGGAGATGATATAACAAGTATGTCAATAATGAATTTTTCCTTTAGATAGAAACATAACTATAGACAGAAAATTTATTATAGATTCTCTGAACTTGCCACCAGCCTTCAAAAGATCTATTTCGAGAGCAATTTTTCAGCATTCTGGACCACATTTGTCTATAACGATTACTCCTGGATCTCTCTCGGTAGGAAGCCAGCTACATGTGTTCCCACCTTGGAAGTCAGGTAAAAAAAAAAAGAATAAAGATTATTATTTCCATTGCTTTACATTAATAAGCTATTTTGTAATATTAGCATCTGGCATCAGAAGTACCAAGAATAATCATGTAATACCGAGACCATTTTGGAGTAATATAATTAAAAACGAGGAGATCCGTTTAACACGCTCTCATGTCAATAATAAAGCAATTGCATTACCGCTTATTTAATTTTTTTAACAATCTCCAAACAATTATTGTATTTGATCATTGTTTTAAATTGAATCATTACAGGACGTAAATAAATTATAACTGTAAATGACTAAAATTCTTATATATAGTAATAATGTATAAAATGATGCACGTATGCAATAAAGACATAGACTTGAGAATCACAATATTATTTTTATAGAACTGTTCAGCGATATAAGGCTACACATTTCCATTACTTTCATATATGCTATTTAAGAATATTTTTATAAATGTAAATAGAATTTTTACTGTGTGTAATGTGTACATATTAAATCATGATAGTTGCAGGTAAATATCAAATAAATTCACATAAATTCGCGATGTCACATAATACAAAAATTGCAAATGCAATAAAAATATAATTAATTGTTATAAGCTGGGTAACTATTACATATTAAATATGCAGTATACTATTTTCAATAAACTAAACAACAAAAATGCTAAAGTATAAACTTACGAACTATATTTGTACGCTGCTTGAAGATCTGTACATCAATTGTAAAGCTTATTTTATATGATAATTTATATGATTATTTATTCATGCAAATGTAGTAAATCGTTTTATAAAATTAATAAACAATATCTGTATTCTCGAAATCTCAGAGAAATCTTTCTTTTACTGACTTCGAATTATATTGCTATTACATATATGTGTTCTCCAAGCAGACTTAAAACATAAAAGTGTATTCTTAAAAAACAGGAATAAATAACAAAAATAATACAAATATTTATATGACGTACACATATGTTAGTCACTATAAGCATGGAATGTTAGAATATAAAATAAACATCTTTTTGCTTATACGCGATAAAGAAAAAGATATAAATCGAATATAAACCGAAAAATGATATAGAACTTATTAAAATGTTATTCACAGAATCTTGAGACACCTGTTTCGCCATATGTATATATGTAAAGAAAAACAAGTAATCATTTCACTAGCAATAATTACAAATTATATAAAATTATAGCGTCATCTTGAGCGTATCTAAAAATATTATCTTATATTATGAAATAATACGAGATGTAATGAACCAATATATATTTCGTGGCACACAGCAACTCGTCATTTATCGTATGTGTAACGCATAGAGCAGACGATCAGTATTATAAAATTTCTTACACAAATAGGCTGTGATTATCCTTTGTTCCTTACGATAAAATAGTATAACAAACGATACTCCATTTAAATAAAATCTAGAGAGAAATAATCGATTCTCTCTAGAGAACTATATCTTAAATAAAAAGAAATACTATTCATTTTTTTTTATGTATATGATAAATACTTTCTGTAATCTGTAATAACAAAACAAAGCATTAGGCAAGAATATAAACTATAAGAACGAAACATTCTTCCAAATTCTTAGAAATATTCTACATTTTATAAAAATGTAAATGTATAAAAATAAAAAACAAGAACCTTCTCTCGTTTGAAGTACATATGTATCTTTCATTTAAATAAAGTATATGTATACATATGTTATAATAGATAAAATAAAAAAAATACAATCTAACAAATACTGTTTATAATTGATAAAAAATACAGTAAAAAACAAAGGCATAAGCAAGCCTAGTAAAATACTGTATATTCATATATTGAACTTTCCATTTAAAATAATTTGCATAAATTAAAATGTATACTCAAAATTAATATGCACCGTTCTTTACAGTAAAAATTTAGGTTACATTTTTTTTTTATTTAAATCGTAATATGGATTGTAATGGAACGTAAGTCACATTAAACTAATGAAAAAAAGCTCAAAATTAATATGCATCGTTCTTTAGAATGGAAATTTAGGTTACATTTTTGTTTATTTAAATCGTAATGTGAATTGTAATGGAACGTAAGTCACACTAAACTAATGAAAGTTTACGTAAAACTGTAGTTCTACAACTACATAAGCTACAGCTAAATTTAGACATATACGCTGACCAATGCACATCATTGCTCTTGGTATAAAGTTTTATACATAAATAAATACATACATACACATATATATATATATTTATATATGTGAGCCTATTTGCATTAATCATTATAGTAATTGAAATACAATGAAATCTACATAGTTTCTGTCAATATATTGTATCTCTTATAATGATTATATAGCTGCAACATGAAAAATGATACAATACTATTACCAACATAATTTCTGTATCTTTTCTATAATATAATAACATTTTTTAGATATACGAAACTATGGTGATTTCAAACATTTTTGTGGATTAGCAATATACACATATATATGTATGTATATATATTTATATGTATTATATGTAACATTATATTCTGACTCTGTCACATAATGTTATGTAATAACCAGGGCCTGGACAGAGTTAGCGCAAAATTCTCGCGTCACACGCGGAGCAATTACTGTGTATAAATAAGATCGTACATCCTCAACCGAGATTGTAAATCCAGTGTCATCTGACTTTAGCGAACATTCGATATCGTGCGTAGTAGCTCAGTCTCGTGAGACCACTCGAGCGGGTCGAACGTGTTTCTTCTCGTCTCGGGTGTTACGTCACCTCGATTATATTTTTGAAAAGCGTGGCTGGCCGTCTGGCCGCCTGACCGGCTTCAACTGTGCATTGCATCTCTATACTGATAGTCTCTTCATTCGTCTGGACGCGCGTCCGTGCGGCGCGGAAGCGTCGTAGTCGCAGGCGCCCAGTGTTTGAGGGGATGTCTAGCCATTTCTATTCTCATTGCATCATCTTTTTTATTCTACTTGCCCGATTCGAGGTGGCCAGTACATTGCATTCCGATCTTAAGACATTATTCGATTACTCATATTGACGTGATCTGGCCGTATCGATCTCCTTTTACATTGTCTGGAGGCGAGAGCCACTAATTAAAGAGGAAGAAGTGCGTAGTAGCTGCTCGACGCGCGACACGGAAATTCGCACGAACATCCCCTAATAAGTAGTGCCCTAGTAATAACTGTTTAGAAAGCAAATATCGATTTCACAGATAGTAAACTATACATATATCTTTTGCCGAGAAGCTTATCTTATTGCATTTAAGCATTACAACAGACAATATATAGTAGAACTATTTTGCTTAATTTTTACTTAATCTTACTCTCTATTGATTCATCTTTGAGAAGTATTTTTTTCTTAACGGATCGATAAAATTATGTTTTATTATATGTATTATATATATGTAACCCATTGCAACGTATTTTACTTGTTTCTTTATACGAATATTATGAATCAAAATATTTTGGTTACTGTTAACAACTTGTAATATATCACACTCAAAGATGAAACAGAGAAAGTAATGAGCTTTCGTTAGA